ATTTGACGAGTATGAGCCGTTCTGACCATATGGTCCCATTTCTATATCATACAGGACGTGCGTAATGTTGGATTTGAGGAGTATGAGGAGTTCTGACCGTGTGGTGGCTTGTCAATTTATCCAGTGGGTGCGTAATGTTTGATTTGACGAGTATGAGCCGTTCTGACCGTGTGGTGGCTTGTCAATTTATCCAGCGGGTGCATAATGTTTGATTTGACGAGTATGAGCCGTTCTGACCATATGGTCCCATTTCTATATCATACAGGACGTGCGTAATGTTGGATTTGACGAGTATGAGGAGTTCTGACCGTGTGGTGGCTTGTCAATTTCTCCAGCGGGTGTGTAATATTCGATTTGATGAGTATGAGCCATTCTAACCATTGCTTCAACATGCAACTCATTCAAATGGTTGTGACAACCTAAATATCCTGTCACCTTCCGGGTTTGCCATATGGCGTCAATCATTAGCGTGTAAGCATTGTTTTATGTGAACCATTCATCATTGACTCAGTTTCCTTGGCGCTTCCCTGGAATATTGACATATTCTATTCTGCTCTTGATTTCACACGGTATCTGTTTTCTCTAGCGAGTATGTTTTTCTCTGTTATCAGTCAATTCTTGGGCAGCACTTTCTGATAGTCAAGTTAGCAAGTACGAGATCTCTTTGTCTTTGATCATCCTCCAGGAACTCATCTCTGTGCCCCCATCCATCTTTCAGAAAGTATGCAATACAACCTAGTCGCCCGCTTCTCTGACTAATTGTTAATCTAGATAGTGCGTGGCTCCTTTTCCCCTTTTGTTCTCTCCGAATGGTGTTTTGATGTTTTCAGCGAGTAAGGAGACTTATATCCTCTCCATTTTATGATTGTTCATTAACTCCTACAACCTATCTGGTGATTTGTCGTGACTTAGGAAATGTGTGACTTTATCACGTCTTCAGTAGGCCCCGAGCCCCCATCCGCGACCCGCGACATCCCAGAAGGTGTGCATCCCTGTTTTGAATTCATTACAGATACCCATGGTGCTCATATTACCCTAGAGGATTAGATGCGACTTGGTTCTACGGTCGGGTCGATTGTCACTGAAATTGGTATGACATTTTTGCTTCAAAACCAGTTCAAATGGCCTAAATAACAAACGAAACAATGGGCAGCGGACCACTTACTCAGGAGATCAATACTTTCAAGACATGTTGCATAGTTTGGAATGGTTATAGCAAATTTCAAAGAGACTTATATTATAGTAAGACAGTAAGATCAGCGACGACAGACTCAGAGTTCTATTCATGATCCAACCACAAAGCATGGCCAAGGCCGACCATGAATACATAGCAAAAGTGCTAGCCAAGAAAGTAGCAGCATAAATGTCGAGTAAGAGAAGAGGAAAAGGGCTAGTATGACCTGACGTTCCTGGTATACGAAATGGGGGTAGAAAAAAGTCCTTATTAGAATAGAACAGCGTTCAGATCATGTACCAGATCTCAAAGTCCATTTTTAAAATCGAGTTGGCTCCCGATGTGTGGTCGACGAGTGAAAAGTTGAATGGTACTTGGCACCGAATGAAATCGCCTTGGAGCCATCTATGAATACAGCGCTCCGTACGCCCTTCAAGTTCCCTCACTTTTGTGGAAAATTACCTCGCCTTTCCTAGCTGGTACAACATCATACCCGTTAGTTGTGACCAGTGGGAAAAGGATAGGACGGGAATTGCATTCGCTTGTCTTCAGGAGGGTACTGGGATCCATTATGAGCATTACTTTCGTGCAAACTTGCTCGACGGGACGAGGATGTGGATGGTGCGGTGGTAGCACCGGTGACTGGTAGGAGAGGAAGAGCGGTGGAGTGAGAAGGTGAAGGTATTGTGGTAGTAGGAAAAGAATACGAACCTGGACCAGGTGAAGATCTCCGTGGGGCATAATCCCTTTCTCCAGATTCTCGGACCGACGAAGACAAGCGAATGCAATTCCCGTCCTATCCTTTTCCCACTGGTCACAACTAACGGTGATGATGTTGTACCAGCTAGGAAAGGCGAGGTAATTTTCCACAAAAGCGAGGGAACTTTTTGAAGGGCGTACGGAGCGCTGTATTCATAGATGACTCCAAGGCGATTTCATTCGGTGCCACGTACCATTCAACTTTCCACTCGTCGACCACATGTCGGGAGCCAACTCGATTCTAAAATGGACTTTGAGATCTGGTACATGATCTGAACGCTGTTCTATTCTAATAAGGACTTTTTTCTACCCCCCTTTCATATATCAGGGACGTCAGGTCATACTAAGCCTTTTCCTCTTCTGTTACTCGACATTTATGCTGGTACTTTCTTGGCTAGCACTTTTGCTATGTATTCATGGTCGGCCTTGGCCATGCTTTGTTGTTGGGTCATGAATAGAACTCTGAGTCTGTCGTCATTAATCTTACTGTCTTACTATAATATGAGTCTCTTTGAAATTTGCTATAACCATTCCAAATTATGCAACATGTCTTGAAAGTATTGATCTCCTGAGTAAGTGGTCTGCTGCCCATGGTTTCGTTTGTCATTTAGGCCATTTGAACTGGGTTTTGAAGCAAAATTCTCTTACCAATTTCGATGACAATCGACCCGACCATAGAACCAAGTCCCATCCAATTCTCTAAGGTAATCATAAGCATCATGGGTATCTGTAATGAATTCAAAACAGGGATGCACACCTGGGATGTCGCGGGTTGCGGATGGGGGCTCGTGGCCTACTAAAGACGTGATAGAGTCGCACAATTCCTAAGTTACGACAAATCACCAGATAAGTTGTAGGAGTTAATGAACAATCATAAAATGGAGAGGATGATATAAGTCTCCTTACTCGCTGAAAACATCAAACACCATTCAGAGAGAATGAAAGAGGAAAAGGAGTCACGCACTATCTAGATTAACAATTAGTCAGAGAAGCGGGCGACTAGGTTGTATTGCATACTCTCTGAAAGATGGATGGGGGCACAGAGATGAGTTCCTGGAGGGTGATCAAAGACAAAGAGATCTCGTACTTGCTAACTTGACTATCAGAAAGTGCTGCCCAAGAATTGTCTTTTTATCTTTCTGAATTTGGTACGTACAATCTGTATTCACATCAGATCATCAAAAGTACTACGTCTATAGACTTCCCAAAACCCACGTACCTATTTGAGATTGCCTCTGGTCAGCACTATTCGTTTAGATGTAAAATCATATCACTTACACTTATTGAAGACTGTGGTGGCTTGTCAATTTATCCAGCGGGTGCGTAATGTTCGATTCGACGAGTATGAGGAGTTCTGACCGTGTGGTGGCTTGTCAATTTATCCAGTTTGTGCGTAATGTTCGATTTGACGAGTATGAGCCGTTCTGACCATTGCTTCAACATGCAACTCATTCAAATGGTTGTGACAACCTAAATATCCTGTCACCTTCCGGGTTTGCCATATGGCGTCAATCATTAGCGTGTAAGCATTGTTTTATGTGAACCATTCATCATTGACTCAGTTTCCTTGGCGCTTCCCTGGAATATTGACATATTCTATTCTGCTCTTGATTTCACACGGTATCTGTTTTCTCTAGCGAGTATGTTTTTCTCTGTTATCAGTCAATTCTTGGGCAGCACTTTCTGATAGTCAAGTTAGCAAGTACGAGATCTCTTTGTCTTTGATCATCCTCCAGGAACTCATCTCTGTGCCCCCATCCATCTTTCAGAAAGTATGCAATACAACCTAGTCGCCCGCTTCTCTGACTAATTGTTAATCTAGATAGTGCGTGGCTCCTTTTCCCCTTTTGTTCTCTCCGAATGGTGTTTTGATGTTTTCAGCGAGTAAGGAGACTTATATCCTCTCCATTTTATGATTGTTCATTAACTCCTACAACCTATCTGGTGATTTGTCGTGACTTAGGAAATGTGTGACTTTATCACGTCTTCAGTAGGCCCCGAGCCCCCATCCGCGACCCGCGACATCCCAGAAGGTGTGCATCCCTGTTTTGAATTCATTACAGATACCCATGGTGCTCATATTACCCTAGAGGATTAGATGCGACTTGGTTCTACGGTCGGGTCGATTGTCACTGAAATTGGTATGACATTTTTGCTTCAAAACCAGTTCAAATGGCCTAAATAACAAACGAAACAATGGGCAGCGGACCACTTACTCAGGAGATCAATACTTTCAAGACATGTTGCATAGTTTGGAATGGTTATAGCAAATTTCAAAGAGACTTATATTATAGTAAGACAGTAAGATCAGCGACGACAGACTCAGAGTTCTATTCATGATCCAACCACAAAGCATGGCCAAGGCCGACCATGAATACATAGCAAAAGTGCTAGCCAAGAAAGTAGCAGCATAAATGTCGAGTAAGAGAAGAGGAAAAGGGCTAGTATGACCTGACGTTCCTGGTATACGAAATGGGGGTAGAAAAAAGTCCTTATTAGAATAGAACAGCGTTCAGATCATGTACCAGATCTCAAAGTCCATTTTTAAAATCGAGTTGGCTCCCGATGTGTGGTCGACGAGTGAAAAGTTGAATGGTACTTGGCACCGAATGAAATCGCCTTGGAGCCATCTATGAATACAGCGCTCCGTACGCCCTTCAAGTTCCCTCACTTTTGTGGAAAATTACCTCGCCTTTCCTAGCTGGTACAACATCATACCCGTTAGTTGTGACCAGTGGGAAAAGGATAGGACGGGAATTGCATTCGCTTGTCTTCAGGAGGGTACTGGGATCCATTATGAGCATTACTTTCGTGCAAACTTGCTCGACGGGACGAGGATGTGGACGGTGCGGTGGTAGCGCCGGTGACTGGTAGGAGAGGAAGAGTGGTGGAGTGAGAATGTGAAGGTATTGTGGCAGCAGGAGAAGAATACGAACCTGGACCAGGTGAAGATCTCCGTGGGGCATAATCCCTTTCCCCAGACTCTCGGACCGACGAAGATGCTGCTTGCGTTGTAGACGGTGGTGGTGGGAGGTAGACTCTGCTGCTACTGCTACTGCTGTTTCCACCGCCACTATCCTTGTATGGAGATGCTTGGTGAGTATCCTTGATGGGAGGAAGCATCCTTTCCTGTGTTTGACGAGGTGGCGAGTATTGGTACACTTCCCTGTGACCAGAGCTCGGTGATTGATGCGGCTGCTGAGAATAAGCCGAAGGACCATTGGGTTGTGGGTCCCGCGATGAGGATGGAGTAAATGATTGGGAGAGTGGGTGAGGGTGATGAGGTGTCGAAGACGAAGATGAATGCTGGTTTGCATTATATCCTCCGTGTTGTTGTGTATTATGGCGACCTGGAGTTTGGGTTTGACTTGAGCTGGCAGCAGGCTCTTGATCGGTAATTTGCATCGCGTTGGATGATAATGTTACTGGCGCTACGGATGGAGGAGGCAGTGATGCCAGTCGTTCGTATATTAGCCTAAATAGTAGTATAAGCAACGAAATATACATCAAGACTCCAATGATAGAGCGTTGAAGCGAACGATAAGGGATTGGCGAGTCACGTTGGACAAAATGGAAAACTCACGCCCGCTCTAGACGCAAACGTTGTATACTTTGTTGTGCTTGAAGAATCTTGACGTATAATTGCTCATTATCCTATATCGAGATAAAATGAAATAGGTTAGCAACCGTGGGATCAAGGGCGGAGCTATTCGACCCGCATATCTATCCTGCCGATGGAGG